GGTTGGCCCAGGATCGGACATTGTTTCGTTCTGCTGTGCATGGGGTCGCTATGAGTCGGTTCCGACTCGATGGCACCTGACAACAACAACAACAGGAGTTGACAGAATATAAACTGAAATCTTTCAGCAAACTGATGCAGCACTGGAGGCACTCACTCATCTATGCCAAGGAATTTGGAGACAACTACCTGGTAACTTATTGGAAGAAATCCATATTTGTGCCCATTCCAAAGAGAGGTGACCCAGCAAAATGTAGAAATCATTGGACAATCATGAATATTGCATGCAAGTAAAATTTTGCCAAAGATAATTCAAAAACAGCTGCAACAGTACACTGACAGGGAACTGCCAAAGGTTCAAGCCAGATTCAGAGGAGGATGTGGAATTAGGGATATCACTGCAGATGCCAGATGGATCTTGGCTGAAAGCAGAGAATACCAGAAAGATGTTTATCTGTGTTTTATTGACTACACAAAGGCTTTCAACTATGTGGATCATGACAAACTATGGACAACCTTGCAGATAATGGTTATTCCAGAACACTTATACTTTGGAGATATTATCAGAAGGGACCAGTCCATGGAGAAGGGCATTATACTAGTTAAAATGTCGGGTCAGCCCCCCAATGAGATGGATTGGCACAGTGGCAGCAGCAGTGGGCTCAGGTATAATGTGGTGGTGAGGACAGCTCAGGACCAGGCGGTGCTTTGTTCTGTTGTGCTGAGGGCCGCTGTGAGCCAGCACTGACTTGATGGTACACAACAAATACAGCATTATTAATGGATGTTTGCAGCTGTTTCTTCTTATTTGAGCTGTGTCCCCTCTGCAAATGAATATACCAAAAGCTTTGCTCTGTCCACATCGTGACGGTGAACTCTGAGACGTCACCTCTTCCTCATTCGGATTTGAGTACCTTCCAACACAAGGGGCTCATCTTCCGTCACCATATCAAACAATGATCCACTGAGATTCATAAGGCTTTCTGCTCCCACAAAGACCCATACAGGCTCACTAAGAGCTGAAACCGAGTAGAGGACACTTCACAACAACAACAAAAACAAGTCTCTCCGAAGTGGACCTCCTATTTCTTCTTCCTAGTCTTCTTAATCTGGAAGCACCACAGGTGACCAATGGCATAGTTTCCAGCATCACAGCAACATTCAAGCCACCACAGTGTGCCAGACGGACAGACATGTGGGCTGACAGTCCATGAAAATGAGAAATTTACTACTTTTAGCAGATCTCGTGCGCCATGTTTTTCTGTCTGTGTCTTCAGGGAGCTTTCTCACCACTTTCACTCTGCTTGCCCATTCGATGTCACAGCTCTCCTGAAACCCCCATTCCTCAGAAGAAATCTTCGCTCTTTTTATTTTCCCCACACAGAAAGTCCCTCCATGTGGAGCCCACCTGTTCCTCTTTGCCTGGCTCATTCTACTGCATCTTTCAAGTTTCATCTGAAACATCACTTTCTTGGAGAGACCACATCTGGCTCTTGGATAAGCATAGAGATAGTCAGTGTGCACACCTATCTTAGTGTGTTTGTTGTGACACAGACCTATCACGATCTACTGGAATCCTGTATCATGTGTTTGAAGTTTTTCTTCTGCTGCTATAATCACCACAAGGGCAGGGTCCTATCAAGACGTCCAAAGGCACTCTTAAATTTAACAATTGCATACAAAGGCCAATTGAACATGGGTGGGGGCCTGAATGTGCCAACTAGAACCTAGAAAGCTTGTAGAAAAGGTAACACCTAAGAGGAATGCTGCATGACAGGGCTAACTTCCATAGAACCTCGAATGTTAACTGGGGAAGAAAAAAGCAAGGCTGACCTCCTGACTAAAAGCAGCCAATACAAACATAATGAAAACCAACCTTATTAACCCAGAAACACGTTTTGATCACTGAAAACCAAAGCAATAAACATTGGTTACAGAAATAACTTACTTGACTTTCATTTCAAATTGTAAGGTACCTTAAATAAATGAGTTAAACTTACAACGAATTTTGCTTCAGTTCCTGAAGACACATGATAATTACGTTTCAAGAAATAAATGGCTGGTGAGAAATGATTTTACAAGTCAGAGAAATTCCTAAAAATAGAGCTAAAATATGACTACCCTTCAGATTTCATGTTGTTGTTGTTGTGATGTGCCATGGAGTCAGTTCCAACTCATAGGGACCCTGTACAGGGTTTCCAAGACTGTAAATCTTTAGGGGAGCAGAAAGCCTCATCTTTCTCCCGAGGAACAGCTGGTAGTTTCGAACTGCTGACCCTGAGGTTAGCAGCCCAATTCGCCACCACTACGCTACCAGATTTCATGTTAGTAAACAGAAATGCGTCTCCTAAGCTGTAGAAATATGTATACTAAACTCAATTCATGAAAACAGAGAAAATTCTAGAAGCCATGCTGTGTGTTATCACAGATTGCCTTACCTGCATGAATTTGGTTTCAAATCCAGTGTAAACAACTACGCCAAAGATCCACTGAGTGTTTTTAAGTTGTGTGCCTCTTAGCAAGATCTGGTTGGGCCCGATTGGGACAGGACTGAAAACACAGTAGAGTATTTATTATCAAAGACGCGTTCTCTTTTAACAGAAACCATAGATAGTCATCAGACATAAGTTCTTCTGCTAAGCTCAGCTCTGGGAGCAAATAGCAATAAAATTAATGTTTATCCATAAAAATGCCTGAGGAGATACATTACTCTTCCTTTCTCACCATTCTATAGATCAGTTTACTAAAAACGTCACATTGGGAAACAACTTCTATACCTGGTGGTAGTGTGCCGTGGAGTCGGTTCCGACTCACAGCCACCCTGTATCGAGTTTCCGAGCAGGAGCAGAAAGCCTCATCTTTCTCCCGCAGAACTGCTGATAGTTTTGAACTGCTGACCGTGAGATTAGCAACCCGACTCGTAACCGCTATGCTACCAGAGCTCTTATGTGTAGGGCACCTAAAAGTTTTATCAGGAAAAACTGGGACATTTTGAGAGTAAAACAAAACACACAAGAAAAACTCAAACCCTGTGCTTCCGAGTGGATTCCCACTCACAGCGCCCCTACAGGGCAGAGTGGAACTGCTCCTGAGTTTACCAGGGTTGTGCATCCTTTAGACACACACAGCCTCAGTCTTCTCCCATGGAGTAGCTCTTGAGTTTGAACCACCGACCATGCTGTTAGCAGACCAATGTTTAACCCACTGCGTAAAGTCTTACTCTTTCTTATTTGCCCCAAGGGATGTGTTTCCAATTGATACTGAAAGGGCATATAAATACACTCAGCTTTACACAGAAGAGCATGGCTTCTGTACCTAGCATTTTCAGGGTTACTGATAAAGAGAAGGCCACCCGTATTTAAGAATTTTCTTAATTACACTGATGCAATCATGACACTTACTTTCTCAAATCCGAGTGAAATGTGAATAATTATCATCTTTGAAAGGTAATTAGGATTGGAACCATGGCAGTGAGATGATACAAGATGGAATGAATGTAAAACTAAAGTTCTCCCATGTAAACTATCATATAATTCACAATAAAACATTTAAAAAACAAAAAAAAAAGGTAATTAGTTGCACGGATGAAAATAACCACATCCTATGTTGCATCAAAGAGAAAGAAATGTTCGAGAAGAGAAAGATGATACCTTTTACCAGTGAGGCACAGGTTTCCTGCAAAGGTACTGAAATGACGATTGGGTTGTTCACATTCTATTTTCCCAGAGAGACTTAATAATTGTTTTCTGTTTAGCATTCTGGCTGTTTCTGGCAAGGCCTGAAAAACAAAACCAAAAGGAAAAGTGACAAAGGAAGTTTAAAGGACTGTGAGCAAGTTCAACGTCTCCAGTAGCTAATGAAAGAACAGGAATGCAAGGCAATGTCTAAGCTGCCTGTATTTCCTAGACCATAAACTCTTACTTCTCAAGTTTGAATATAAACTGTATCACAAGACTGCCACACCAGCCATTTGCAAATCAACTTGAAGAAGCGTCAAAAGAGGTAGTAAAGTGAAATTTTCAAGACCTCTACTGAAAATACCACTTTTGAAAGTATAATCAGAATAACCAACTATCATACAGAGTCCTGGTGTGGTTCTGTACGGATAAGCACTGGACTGCTCACCACAAGGTCGGTGATTCAAACCCTCCTCCAGCTGTTTCTCAGAAACCCTACACAGGGTAGCTATGAGTCAGAACCATTTCAATGGCACTTAACAACAACAACCAGCATATGATGTTTGAAGCATTTGTGTACGTCGCTGACCTATAGAATAAGCACTGGACTGCTAAGCACAAGATCAACAGCTCAAACCCACCAGCTAGTCCATGGGTAAAGATGTGGCCTTTTGCTCCCATAAAGATTTGCAGTCTCGGGAATGACTCAGCAACACCTGACAAACAGCAACAAACTACTCATTGACGGAACCCTGGTGGCACAGTGGTTAAGTGCTCCGTTGCAGACTGAAAGTTGACAGTTCAAACCCACCAGTCACTCCACAGGTGAAAGATGAAGCCGTCTGCTTCCATAATGAATTGATAAAGCTGGCAACTCTACGGGTCCATTCTAGTCTGTCATCTCGGGTAGCATGAGTTGGAATCAACTTGTTGACTGTGGGTTCATAAGGAGGCCTAGTGGCACAATGGGTAAGTGATGGACTGTTAACTGAAAGGTCGGATGTTTGGATCTACCCAGCGACTCTGCAGGAGAAAGGCTTGATAATTGATTCCCTTAACAAAGACAACCTAGAAGCCCTACAGTGCCTCTACCCTGTCACATCAGGCCACTAGGAGCCACGAGTGACTCGATAGTACCCAACAAGAAACACAGTCATCAAACTATTTCATAAAACTTAACATCTACCACTTTAAAAATCAGGAAGCATCTGCAAATCTAGTATCTGTGCTTGAGGGTCTATTTATGATGTGCTTGTCTCTCCAGTCTTGCAAAATCATAAAGATGAAACACAAATCAAGAAAGAATACCATCAGCAGACCATAAAATTCTGAGGAATTTCTACAAGAGAGAGAAAAGGTTAGATGAGATTAACTAGATTAGATTGACAAACAAATCAGAGGAGAGGAAACTCAAACAAATCAAGGATCTTGTCCTGTGTCTAGTTTGATTCAGATGTGTTCTGAGCTTTGGATCACAAGATCAAGCCAAAGTGAGTATCGTTCTGTAAGAAGTCGAGAGTGACCAGTCAGGTCTTTAAGGCTGACCACTCCCCCTAGAAATCCCCAGGGCTAGTGAGTGACAATCTGGGCAGTAGTCCTCAACACTGACTCAACAGAATCACCTGGGGAGTTTCATACCAAATCAGGCCAAGACCCAGGCCCCCAGTTATTTTTAAAACCCTCTGGTTGTCCCGAAGTGCTTCTCCAATTTTATGTGTGTACAAATGAGCTGATGATCTCGCTGAGACGCAGGCTTGGGTTCAGTAGGTCTGAGCCTGGGCCTGAAATTCTCTAACAAGGGCAATTCACTGCTGCTGGTGCTCATCTAGGGTCTGGGACAGAGGGGGCCACTCACTCCTCCGATTCACCCGGAGGTCTTGTCAACACCCAGACGGATGGCTGCCCCCCTGGAGTGGTTACGCAGTGGGTCTGGGGTGGGGAGGGGGGTTAGTTGCTGTGGAGTAGATTCCTACTCATGGCGACCCCATGTGTGCAGATGAGGAGAGCTGCACATTGTTTGCAAGCCTGTCGTCTTTCAGGAGTAGCTGTCTTGGCCTGTCTTCCCAGGAATGTCTGGATGTATTTGAACAGTCAACCTTTCAGCCAGTAGTCAAGCGCTTACCGATTTGTACCACCCACGAACTCCCTCACTTCGTAAACCACTGTTTCACAGACGCTGTCATTCCAGCAAGAGAAGTTCAACCTCCAGAGAGAAACCGTGGTTCATCTTTAAGAGGAACCAAAAGGGCAATAGAGGAGCACTACAAACAACTCCCACAGATTAGACAGCTTAGACGCAATGGAGCAACTCCTCAAAGAACACAGAAGACCACGTCTCAGAGTCCCGGTGTGGCGTTTATAGGATAAGCGCTGAACCGCAAGGTCAGCAGTTCAAACTCAACAGCAGCTCCTTGGAAACCCTATAGAGGGTCGCTACGAATCGGAACCAACTCTATTTCATAATCTGTGAGATGTGGTTGTTGTGTTATTGTTAAGGGCCATTGTGTTGGTTCCAACTCATAGTGACCCTGTGGCGGGGTTCCTAGGAGAGGCTGGTGAGTTTGAACCACCGAAACTTGCAGTTCAAACCGACCTTGAAGTCTAGTGCTTAAATTGAATTCATAATTTTAAAACGCCAAAAACAAAGAAACTTCCAGGCACAAACGGTTTCACTGGAGAATTCTGAGATGAATGTTTAAAGCAAAATTAACACCAATTCTGTACCATTTCTTCCAGAAAATACTCCTAGAAAACGAGGGAGTGCTTCCCAATTTTACAAAACTTATAAACAGACAAATGAATACTCTAATGCAGTGTCGGATTACCCAAGAAGCAAGGTAAGCACAGGCTTTACTGTGCTTACTTACTAATCTATAGTGAACAATTGGACCACATCAGTAATCCTGCTTCTAGGTCTGGCTTGAAGTAAACTAAAAGCAAAGTATGAACAACAGAAGTAGGATCAAAGCAAAGTACGCATCCTCAGAACAAGATGTATAAATGTGTGCTATCTTCTGCCATGTAAATTTCATAGGAATAGTCTTCTGAGTAACAGTGACACAGCCCCTGAGCACCCCCTAAAACAATAATAACTCAAACAACCCACTGCTGGCCAATCAGCTCCAACTCGTAGTGACTCTATTGGACACAGTAGAACTGCCCTACAGGATTTCCGTGACTGTAAGTCTTTACGGAATCCAGCTGCGCCATGTCTTCTCCCATGGAACCGCAACCAACCTTTTGGTTAGCAGTCCAACACTTACCCACTGTTTCAGCAGGGTCCTTAAGAATCATACAGTGCCCTCTCAATGTCCGATCAATGGTGAGGAGAAAGGTATCTGACAAAAGTTGGTGTTGTGTACGCAGGTGTCAACTTCAAGTAAGAAAAAGTGTGTTTACCTGCCGTATTTTCAGGTTTGTCTCTCCGTCCAGATTAGCTGTTGCAACATAGCACATGGATTGGGGTTCACTGGAGAAAATAAAGGTGAATTAATAATGGAGTGATAACTCGCCTCAAAAGTGATTTCCCAGTAATGTCGCCCGGGTGGTAACCGTGAGACGTGACCAACATTGAAAACTCTCCTTCATAGATAAAAGGGCTACCAACAACGTCATTGCTGGAAGACAGCAGCAGTCTGCATCTAAAGCCCACTGACTCCAGCCAAGTCCAACTCACAGTGACCCCAGATTGGGTGGCTGAGACTCTAAATCCTTACGGAAGCCGACTGCCTCATCTTTCTCCCATGGAGCACTGGTGGGTTTGAACTCCTGAACTTTCAGTGAGCTTCTGTACCACCAGGGCTCCTTAGTAGTCTAGTCCTTCTTGTTGTTGTTGTTAAGTGCCTTCATGTTGGTTCCACCTCATAGTGACTCTGTAAAAAGGTTCCAAGCCTAAAGTACATAGGCTGGTGGGTTTGAACCACCAACCTTGCAATTCAAACGGCCTGCAGCGCTACACCAGGACTCCAAGTGTGGTCCAAGCAGCCTGACCGTCAGCTTGAGAATGAACCATCTAAGAGGTTTTGTGTCCACACCTTTCAATCTTACAGACCTATGTGATTATCCTTTAAAGCCAAGAAGAGAAATGGCTGAGAATGTAACTCAAACAGCCCCAATTTCACACTACTCCAAAGTAACATCTGGGATTAAATATAAAATTCTGTTCGTTTCTAAAATGAAGACCATAAATCCCCCGCCCCTCAGCTTTAGAGTCTTTAAAATGGAAATGCACCATTTCTCTTCTACCTTATCACAACACTGAGGAGACCCAGGTCCTGAATCCACCAGCCTTTGCCTCGCTAGATTCTATGGTTGCCGTCAGGTGCCATCGAGTCAGCTGTATCCCACAGCATCCTACATACAAGAGAATGAAGCACCGCCCAGTCCTGCACCTTCCTCACAATCGCTGTGACACTTGAGCCCACTATTGCTGCCACTGAGCCAATCCATCCCCTTGGAGGGTCATCCTCTCTTATTTCATGTTAAATGTCAAGTCATCTATGAAAATCATCATGTTTCAGGAAATTCTCCATTGAAGTTTACTGGAATCCTGGGTATGGCACTGTAGGGTAAGCCCTGGACTGCGAGGTCAGTTTGAACCACAAGCTTGGCAGTTCGAACCAATCAGCCTCTCCTCGGAAACCCTATACAGAGGTGCTATGAGTCAGAACCAACACCACCGCCAGTCTTTAAATCATCAGGAGCTGCTCAGCAGTTTCTCATTCACTGAAATAGTAGTTTTAAAGTACACAAGTCATGAGTTCACTCTTCTAAGACTATTGTCAAGACCAAATGCCCTAAAATAATGACTATTCTGTAATCTAATGGGGTCCTGGTATGGCGCTGTCCAGGGTCAGCGGTTCAAACCCACCGGTTGTGACTCGGAAACCCTGTACAGTTTGCTATGAGTTGGAACTGACTCGATGGCTTAACAACAACAAAATAGTAAAAGGAATCCTGGTGGTGCTGTGGGCTAGGTGTTCGGTTGCTAACCACAAGGTTGGCAGTTCAAACCCACCAGTCACGTCTTGAAAGAAAGATGAGGGTGTCTGCATCCATTAACATTTACAGTCTTGTAAACTCTGGGATGGGTTGCTCTGAGTCTCAAGCATTGTAGAGAATCCATATGGTGTCTGCAACAGAATGCTAAATATTCTATTATTTACAATGTCAAGTTTTCAAGAATCCACTAGCCATTAGAGAGATGCAAATCAGAACAACAATGAGATATCATCTCACAACAGCAATAACAGCAACAATCAAAAAAGTAGAGGACAATAAATGCTGGCGAGGATGTGGAGAGACTGGGACCCTCCTACATTGTTGGTGGGATTGCAAAATGGTCCAACTTCTCTGGAAAACAATATGGCGCTTCCTCAGAAAGCTGGAACTAGAACTACCTTGTTGTTGTTGTTAAGTACCGTGGAGTCG